AAAAATAATATACTAATAATATATACTATTAGTACTATTAGCCTCATATAAATAAATTAATTTAATAAATTAAATAATAATAAATTACTTACCACAGTGAATATATCAAATAGGAACCGAAAAGGTGGTTTCTTCAAAAGTTTTTCTGAGAGCGGAGGTTTTTTAACATATTTACCAAGTGTATCTTGTGTAAGTTTTATCACAGTCGGATCAATATTGCTTTCGGCCATTATTTTACAATTTAACAAAATTTAACTAAATCTATTTTAATTTTATGAAAAAAAAAAAATCAATTCATTACATAGCGACGAATATGACAAGCACTTCTCATTTCTTTGTTGACACCAATTATTGCCTTGGTTACCTCTTTAGCTCAGAATTTACTAGATAGAACTAAAGATAAATTTATGTTTAAATTATTATAGATATGCACAATACTAATTATTAAAACAATAAACTAATGCATTAATAATATAAAATATAAATATAAAATATAAAATTTCCTACAGATGTTAAAAAAAATATTTGCAATATAAAATTTTGGGATATAAAAAAATTAAATGAATTAAATATGCAATAAATAATATTTTTTGTTTTTTTTTTTTTGTTAATAATTATTATATTATTATACATATATTTTTAATATTGTATTATAATTTTATATATTATTTAAGTTAAAAATTTAACTTTAAAACTTATTATTTATTGTTTTAGCTTACAAATCTATTTCTATTATAAATCGATTACTTAGACAGGGTTTTCTAAGTCTTGTTGTGTTTAAACTGTTAGCTATTAGATTTAAAGTTAAGCTATTATTATAGTTGCAGTACTTTATGATATATTTAATGTTGAAGATTTCTTTTTTAATCTTTATATGAGATCTTTGTCTATATTTGCATTAGAGTAGTGTAGTTTTCAAAGGTGCAGAAATTTATTAATTTACTTTCAATATAATAGTACTCCTAATAAAATCTAAAGAGCAGAATTACTTGTTAAAAAATAAACAATAACTCACATTATTAACTAGACTTTATATGGATATTTCGTATATATTACTTTAATACTTTACTACTTTACTTTGCATAAATATTAAGAACAAATAATTCTAGAAAATTGTTGCTAAACAAAAATGATAATTAATGGATCTTTAGATGTTCACTTCATATAAGTTTTTTATCAAAGATATCTTAGAAACATTCTTCTTTAGTTATATAGTGACAACATATCGTATAATACTTTTAGCACTATTCAACGAATCTGAATAAGTCCGAATTATCTTTGATAAAAGACTTCGATAAAGTGAATATCTGATTATAAAAATGACAAAGACAACAAAATGTATGATGATAATCTGTGAAAGTCTTCATGATGAGTCTTCATTAGCACAAATGCATATATCGAATGGTGGCCAAAAATTTAATGCTTAAGTCATTGAGTAAAATGTAGAGTCTGGTTAACTATGGCGTTATAGATATAAAGAGCAAGTACCATACAATCAATAGATATATACTGTGATATACTAAAAAACTTTTACCGACTTTCCAACATCCTTTTTCACAAGAAAGATTAACTAAAAGAACATCCTCAAAAAGATATAAATTTTTAGTTGTCTTTAGTGAAAGCAATTTTAATACAGTAATTTCTAAGAGAAGTACATGTAATAATGGTGACTTTATACAGCTCACCAATGTGTGTGCTTAGTTAACCGATAACTTAACATAAAGCATATAGTAGTGCTGAGGTTCTAGGTAGAATTCTATTCAGCAGCATCCGAGCCATAGAGTGACTTAAAATGAGATATAAAAATGTCAGCATTTGAGATGGGCAGGAATATGAAATGAAATCCAATAAAAATTAAAAATTAGAAAAATCTTATATCAACGTTGACTAATGCTTACAAAGTAAAAAAGAAATTTTGGACAAATCTTTAAATATAAATTACTTGTAAAGTCAGGGGCTGACGCTTAAAATGGAGTACAATCGCAACAGTTCATTCTAACAGATTTGAAATTAAATTATCCATTGGTTTATTAATTAAACATTCTCCTGTTAATTCTACTTTGTTGTTAAGCAATGCATAGTAAAGTATTATCTGGAATTATATTGCGATTGTCAAGAAACAAAACCAGTAAGTTCATTTGATTTTTGTTGAACCGAACTAGGTTCAGAGTCTTGAATATTGTTAAATATTATTAAATTTACTGTTAGATTTAATTTGTGCAATTTAGATTAAATGATTTTCCCCAGGGATACCGCATTAGATACCGAAAGTCATAGTTATTATTATCTCTCTTATTACGTATCCCACCAATTGTTTCCATTATATCTCTTTTCCACTTCGACTTTATCGATTTATTCGATTACATGTCTATGCATGGAGTTCTAGATGCAATCCTGGAATCATTTAGGCTGGCATTTTTATTGAATATGACTCTTATTTATTTTTATATAATTTATAATATTATATTTATTATTATATTATATATTTATATATAATATTATTCTATATAATATTAATTATTTATTTATTATAATATTAATATAATAATATTATTATAATATTATTCTATTAGAAATATGTACTTATATAAGAAGAAAAAAATTTAATTGAATCCTTTTTGTTTATAAAATATTAAAACGCAATATTCACAAACATTTGACATTTATTATTTAATAATTCAAAAATGTGTTAGTTTTTTTATTTAATAATATATAAAATTAAATTTAAAAAAATATTTATACTTTTAAAAATGAAATCTAATTAATTAATTAATTTTAATAGTTTAAGTTTAGCTATAGTTTAAGAAATATATTGCAATGTTATTACATTATATAAATAAAAATATACAGAAAAAAGTAAAAAGTCTGCTCATTATTGTATGAAATATATATATGGAGTTCTGCTAATAACTAATTATAGTTTAATTTAATCATAATTGTTTTTAATAATAACTAAACAACAAAACTATATTTGAATTTTTTTATTAGTAACAATTTCGTATTTATATTTAAAATATAATTAAACATATTTTATAAAAAGACAATATTTTAATAAAATATATTTACAGTTTAGACTTTTCTTAATTTAAAAAAATAAAAATTTTGCATTTATGTAAATTAATAATATATTAATTAATTTAATTAAGTTTTAAATCGATAGAAAATACTTAACATAATTGTGCAATATCTATTAAATATTAAATATATTAATACAAAAATAAAATTTTTAGGGAATTAAACAAGTATAATCTTGGAAAAATAATAATACATATGTATATAATTGTTATTACGACCTATATATCAATCAATTTTATTTTTACCGAATTTAAAGTTGGTTATTTAACACTTAAAAATAAGATTTTTAAGATTTATAGATTATATTTAAAAACTCTAATTGATTGTAGATTTACAAATCTACAGTTCTGTGTTGAAACAAATATATATAACATAAAACTAATAAATACAAAATTAATTTTTTTTAAAAAGATCGAAATATTTGTATTATAAATATTTTTTAATAAAAATATTAAAAATTTTAACATAAATTAATAAGTGCTTTTATTACCTTTTCAATTTCAAATAAACGACCTTAAGTCCGGTAGAAATAAAATTGTATATATATGTAGTAATAACATTTATTACTATTGTGCAAAAATATTCAACTAAAATATGTATATATAAATTGTTTAGATAAAAAGTAACTAACTTTATATT